CCAATATGACAGCCATAAGTGGAAAATAGTCCATTAGTGCATGTGAAAGGAAAAAAAACTTCTTGGTGTGTATCAAAATCATAGCAACAGAACAAAACAAAACTTTAAAGGCTGTTTAAAAGGTTCTCTCAACCTTGATCCCAATTTTGTTCAACTTGTTTGCACAAGTGATTTACAAATACATGTTAGCTTTTAACCATTTTTGTATTTTTGCATAAAATCACAGGGCAGAATAATCAAGTAGCCAGTAGTTGTTGTTGCTGGCCTTGCTGGAATCCTCCCTACAGGATCAGAGCGAACCATCAATATCCAGTCCACACAGGCTTCAGGAGCAACGTTGGTCTCAGCAGACTCCACCTGGAGTTTCCTCTTCCAACTCTACCCTCCTGCATCCCAACCTGGCTGCTCAGCTCCACGCCCCCCATCCTGGCATGCTTCTTCTTGGTACTGATGGGATTTGGAGTTCCAGCATCTGGAGTAGGGGCGGAGTCCATGAAACCTGTACCTGTTACAGTACAAGGGGTTAAAGCACAGCACTCTGAAGCCATTGGCAGCCACTGCAGCACGAGTTTGACCCCCAGCCAGGTAGCTGACCCACATGGCACAGCAGACCTCTCCTGCCTCACCTGCTGCTCCCCTCAGCAGTGTATTTCAATTGATCTGCCTGTTCTGGTCCCCACTCTGTCTCTGGTGAAACTTCTCACTCCTCACATACTTAGCCTGTACCCCAGTTTTGTATGCATTGATAAAAAAAAGATTTTGGAGACTGTGTTCAGCCTAAAAAAGGAAGTCAAAAGCTACATACCCTTTACCTCAGGTCTGTCAGATCTTTAAAAATAAACATAATTGGGGTTTACATTATCTTGCCAAAGTGCCAGTCAGCTTGCCACTAGAGGCCTTCCTGTCCTCAGCAGCTACAAGTAGCCACTGCCCATCGTTATCTCTGTGCACAGAGAGGGCCTCTCTTCGCCCCTGGGCTGATAGCAGGCGTGAGGAGGCTGGTCTACACTGTACTCTCCTGTCCTGAGACTGACATGGCGAAGTCACACCTAGCGATAACTTTCCAGTCATTTATGACTGCATTCCCTCCTCCACGCAATCAACTTCCACAGTAAAGAAGTCAGGAAAGTTCTCAAATTATTTGCAGGGGTCCGTAGTGTTAGTGACAGAGTTGAGAGTGGAATGAGAGAGGCTTAGTCATACATAGCAAGCTGCAATTATTTTAATGTATTACTACTCTTTATTCATTCAACAAGCACTTATTGGTCACCTATTATGTGCCAGTCAACATGCCAGCGTTCTTAAATTTTTTGGCCTCAGGGGTCTCTTTACAGTTTTAAAAATATTGAGGACACCCCCCCCCATAACAAAAATAACAAAAAACTCTGAGGACTAAAAATAAAACAAAAAATACTGAGACCCCCCCCAAAGAACTTTTGTTCATGTGGATTATGTCAATTAACTGTTACTATTTTATAACACAAAATTGAGGAGTTTGAAATATATTTCCATTAAAAATAATAAACCCACTATTTATTAACAATAATTTTTGTGGAAAATTATTTTTCAAAACAAAAAGCTTGGTAAGAAGAGCAGCATTGTTTTATACTCTCCCCAAATGTCTTCAATATACAACTTAATAAAAGACATTAAACTCATACAGTCTTTTGCCAGCTCATGCATCGTGTATCTTCTAGAAGACTCCACAGAACCCTCATGAGAAAATGGGCTAACGATGACAACGGCTACATAGAATTATTAAATTAACATTAAATATTAAAAATATTTTTGACCCTCAAGGCCATTGGCAAGGATATTAAAATGGAAACCCAGGCATGTCCCAGCCATACTTCGGGAACACTGAGTGTGGTACTGAGCGACAGCCCTCAGAAGCTGAGACCAGCAGGAAAGAAGAACATTTATAGGTATAGACAGCGCAATGTACTAAGTGTTCTAATAGTGTAAGAATAGATTCTGACTGGGAAGGTGAGAAGGCTTCAAGAAGTTGACATCTGAGTTGGTTTTGCAGCCTCAGTAGGTATATAACCTGGGAGGTGAGGGCTCATGTCATTGGAATAGGCCTGGGTTCGTCTGCTGTCTGTCGCTGCCAAAAGCCAATTAGCAGGAACTGAATCTATAAGCACTTTTATTTTTCAGATCAGTAGCCATTGATCTGAGAGAATGGTGGTTATAGTACCCTGAAGAGACCGCCCTGCCATCTCATCTGGAGCTGGCCTATTTATAATGAGTTAGACAAAGACAGTTACAAGTGTTGGGAGTGACCAAGTGCAGAGATTTACTGATGGGACTAGATAAGGG